AATTTTTCGTTTTAAGCTTTTCTATCAGAAGGTTCATAACGACTATGGTACTTATTTTCATAGGTTCTTGGAACCGTTTCTGTTTGTCTTTGGTACTGTAAGCGTTATACTTGGGGCCTTTCAAGTTGCTCTTGCAGCTAGAGAGGCTGCACCTACTTTTCGGTCGTGGACCAGTTTTCCACAAATAGTGAGTTTTTTTTCGGTTGGTTGTATTGGACTGGTTGCTCTTATGTTGTTTGTATTGCTTGCAATGCTGGTGATGCTGGTGGTTCGGGAGGCTTTGTATTCATTGGGAATGTACTTAAGGGAAAGGAGAATAATCTAAGTAGAGGGACTCGGACACTCTGTTACTATAAGACTGTATGTTTCCCTCATATGAATATCCTTCTTTAAGATATCTCTTTTCAGACACACATTCAAGTTTAGCCCACTGACAGTCCCACTTGGAATAGGCCAGACGGCGATATCCAATACAAACTATAAATGCGCGATCATAGCCGAATGCTGAAGTACTCGGGGGGTGTGGTTAGTCGGGCGACACCCATATATGGTAACGAGGGTTTGCACGCAGAGAAACGTGTTTTGGGCGGTTTTTTTGTATGGGGGAAAAAAGTCGGGCGATACCCAGAATACAGTAGGCAATAATCTCAGACATTTTGTGGCACATCGCCGCACTTACCCTTGTACCCTAGTACCTTAATAAGTGTATATGATACAGTGCCGTAACAGGATATCTATCCCCTAACATATCACACCGTTCAAGGACCGGGAATGATATCGACTGACTTTCAAGCCAGCCGTCACAGGTTTTTCCAGTACCGGTTGGGTAAACATTTGCGATATCCAGTGACCACAGGCCATGAGGCTCACCAAGACTTCCGCTGAGTTCGCCCGGGCCGAACATCAGTTCATTCAGCAGTCCCAAGCCCAGCTAAGGCTCGCCCCGACCCAACCCAAGAAACCATAAACCGGGTGAACCCAACGCACCCACTGGGTCTGTATGCGAAACGAACCAGGAGTGATACAGTAGTATTATATAATACGACATTAAATAGAGTTTGAGATAATTTAAATTACCTGTTATTTAGGCATGTATATAACTGACTAACACACTAACTTAATCAGTAACTTATAAGATAGAGAACATAGTACCAATAAATAACATTAAAAAATAAAAAAAAATAGGAAACACTACCAAGAACTCAAGAATGAGTGGAAGAAATCTCATCTCATCTCATCCTCATCCCATGAATGCACTATCGCACGAATATTCTGCCTCAGCTTCCTCGCTCCAGCCACGAGTGCTGCTTCCATAGACTTTTGATAGGATTGAATCCAACAAATTTATTACTCTTTGGATTAACAACCTGTAGAACATCATTTATAATAATCAACTTCCCAATAACAGACTCCAGTGGCCCGTATATCCGTGATAATATGTGCAGTTTCTTTTTTCTTTTTTCCCTCTGGCCCCAAGCGCGGTACACATCTGGCAGTAGCGAAATATTTTAGCTCGAATCACGCACCCCGGTGTCATCAGATTTTGGGGTTTCCTCATGGGAAGATTCTTAAAGCTGAAAGCCCGGGGGCGGGATTGGAGTGGGTAGAGTAGATGATGAACTCGATAGAACACTTCTAGTATGAGTAGAAAAACTTGTAGCGACTGTGGATCGGCCAGATAGTTTGAGAACCTCTGATCCAAAGCATCAGAAACAACAAAGCTTGCTGGAGGCCAATTATCATGGCATACTCATCGGAACAAGTGATAGCTCAAGACCACTAAAATTACAAAAGTCTAGTATCCTGCATGAATCCTCTTACTTGTAATTCAACAGATAATTTTCCTACATCTTTCTGTTTCTAGAGACTAGGATCCTCATTGTAACAGCGATGATCCCATCAGAAGACACCCTTTCTAGATGCAAAGTTAAACTAGAAAAACTTGTCAGTCTTGTTGAGCAACCCTGATTGCCCCCCCCCCCGGAACTCAGCTAAAAATTGGAGTCCAAAACTTGATGCTGGAGCTTTACCATAGTTGTAACCAAGCCATGTCATACTATTCGCCAGCAGAAACAGGGTTGACACAGAGCAGTCGCTCAGTGATCGGTCGATTTCATTTATTTATTTTCCCTTCCGCTCTTCCTTCATTCCGCTCGTATGAGAAAGCTACTTGTACCATGCAGCGCACAGATGCCGTACTTGTAAGATCGCACTCGTAGATATTCCCTCCCTCACATCTCCGATCTAGACTCCTTACAGCAAAGCAACTACAGGCCCTGCACTCGAGTACTACTGTATGTCTAATACTATATTAAAGTGGAACCAAGAACCTTATCATTTCCAGACATTAACAATAAACACGCGCACACAATCTCAAAAAAAAAAACCCCTCCCTACAGTTCATAAATCCATTTGCCCCTCTCCTCCGGACCCCTAGCCCTATTTCTCTCAACAGTATCTGATATCATAAATTTACCTAACATAATCTTCCTAGTTCCTACTTAAATAACCAACTAATATCGTTCACACTATGCAAGAACAAAAATAAAATAAACCAGTAGTCACTACCGCACAGGGAGACACAGCATATAAGTTTTGGATACCAGTACAAGTACTGCACTAGCGAAAGACGTTTGGCTAGTACAGTGAAACCTCCGTTATCTCCAGGACGTGGGCAGACTGGATTCCCTGGAAGTAGAGGGGGGTGTTGAGAGAAAAATGAGTGATAGTTCATGAAAGCATACAGGTTTTAACTCCATATGTTTACATTCCGGAAAAATAATACACCCCTTCCATCTGATAACCCTTCATTCTAAAAACATGCATATATCGGAGGGTGGAGTTATCGGAGGTTTCACTGTATCATAATCGATGCAAATTAGCAAATTTTCATAACAATCAGGAAACTTTTAGTTCAAGTTACCTGATTTAGAGCACTCACCCCTGCTACCCAAACACCACCACATACGAATGAAATACAAGTATCATACCAATACACAGAACCCATGTGCCGTACCTCCATACCTAAGCACAACTTATGTCACACTCAGGTCTCCTCATCAATCATCCCACCACAGCCCCGCTAAAATCAGCTCTACTTACTTCCTATTAGTAAAAATCTCTCTCCATACAAGGCTCCTTGCTCAACCATTACAGCCGCAATAAAGAAGCCCATAAATCCTATACACACCTCTCTCAAAGGTAGTATATATATTAATGATTCCCAATGATATGACACTGACAGCTGCTTGCACAAACCCCTTCCTGAACAATAGCTAAACAAACTCGAAAGTAAACGAACCAAGCCCTATTCTCATTCACCCCAGCAGTCTAACATGTCAGATATTTTCCAAACCTCAGCACTCAGCATCCAGTGCAACCAGCAAATGCGCGACCATGATATCCAGACAAAATACCATTACATTAACAGACAGTAGTTCACACAATACAAGACAAGAACAACAAATACACGCTCAAGTACCAAAATGGTACCGAGACGAAATGTACCGTACCAAAGAAACTACCAGAGTAACACTTACCCTCCCGCCAATGCACTCATAAAGATCGCGGGGCACTAGGACTAATATAGGAGATCAACCACTGTAACACCATAGACTTCCTTGTCAAATTTAACAATCGCTCACCATACAAACCAATATGATATCTCCCCAAATACTTTCTCTCACTAACTTCTGATAATGACAGGAAGACTCGCTCAATTTTATCTCTATTTGAAAGAGAAAAAGATATTCATTTATTTTCAAAATGATCACTAGCTTAAGACCATATATATAGAAAAATACCACAATTGAAATTCACCCCCATCCGAACAACTCACGCTCCACACACACATCCACATGTCGTTCCTACATGTCTACTTATCTTCCAGTGCCAGATTAGCATACCATCACCTTTTCCCCGCCACTCTTTTCATCATTCGTTCAACTCTACTCAACTCTTTCCACCACCCCCTGCCTCAACGAAACTCGTCAAATTGAATAGCCCATTGACAATGTTTGAACCCCTCAAACAAGGAGATCTGGGACCGGCCATAAGTTAACAAGAAATAAAGGATATCAATAACCTTTACATAAATATTTCTTGGAAATCGCGAGGCGCTGCTCGGCATGTTCTCACGATGGTTTGTTGGTTTGTTCGCATAGTCTCTCTGGCTGAGAGCGCGCTTTGGTTCCGGGCGCACTTTGGCTTCCTGCGCAGCTTGGCTTTTCGGGAAAGCACTTCGGCTGCGGGAAAGCACAGGAGTCTTGAAGCAATGCATCCACCGGGAGGAAAGCGGAAAGGCTGGAAAGTCAGTGTCCGGAGGCTATGAATAGTGGAAATTTGTCTTTCCCTTGTTAGCTTCCCGTTTGCGAGCGTGGGAAGACATACCTGAAAGGATAGGACTGGCTCGTCTTGTCGTTGATATATACTCCTGTCTTTACCATTAGTTTATCTTATAGTGGTATGACAGCCGAAGCGAAGAGTTTTTCCAGTTCTTGAGTTGTGCGATCATTTCATTGTGCTTTCGCTGTCGCTATCGTTTCGCCGATCACACATTTAAGAGTATCAACAACCCGAATACCATACAGCCAAGTATGATACAACCACCCAAATATTAACCCTTATATCCTACGCCTCTCATTATGCCTACAGCACGCTGCCTGAGCCTTTTCCCCTCCCTGATTTCTCTCCTGGCCACTATATTCTCCCTCACCACCCGATTCTCCTCCCTCCGCTTTGTCGCCCGTGTCTTCCTTTCCCCTACATGATGATCCACCCTGTCGGCCAATTGCTTACGTTTGGTCAGCAATTCGTAATTTCTGGCATGTGTGAATAGGTCAACCGAGTTGCGAACCCCCGCTGTTACTTCCATTACCTTATGCGCAACCACTGGCCCATAGAAGGAAAACCCATCACCGACGCCCAGCTCAACCCGGGTCTTCATCTGCCACAAAACCAGATCGCCGCCTCGGAAGTGGTCCCCGAAAGGTAAAACACAATTAAATAGCTTCTTGTCGTCCATCCAATCCTAATGAGAACGGCTCCCATCCAAGTTTAACCCTTGATTCAAGCACACATCGTGCCATGCTCCCCAAGTGGCCTTCACCACGCCTCCTGTCATACGTGCATACTATTCCGGGCAAAGGAATCGCAGTTGATTACTACAGTAATCAAACAGTTCTTGATTCCGCCTCAGCCACTCCCGGCCCTTTTCCCCATCCTACAATAGCTCACAGCTCTCAACATACTTTTTGTTGTAATCAGCCCAGACGGCATAATGCCGGCCCATATAACGGCCCCGGGCTAAGGGATCTCTTCCACCACCAGTAGGCCGCGGACCACGGAAATCCAGACCCTTGGATGTATCATTTAAGGTGGCGAGAAGCCGTGGCGGGATCCTGAACCTATATCCAATAATGACACCTCTGGGATCGCGAATTTGTAAAGTTCCAAGAGAGGAGGGGCAGAAGGAGAAGGATGGACGGCGGCTGGCTGTTCCGTGATTAGGGGAAATATCCCCTTTGGCTGTCTGGAGCGCTCCAACAGCGTCTCAAAAAGGATAGGTGACTGTATATTCAAGTATCCGGCACGTTTTTCCCCCCACTTCTCAAGAAGCTCTTGCACAACGAACTCCAGGGAAGTTCCACGCGGCATAGGCACCGGGAGTGATTGCCGGGTAAATGCTCCTATGGCAATCAAGTGACTAACATACCTCTGCATATTTCTTGCAGCCTAAATCATTTCCCCTGTTAGTCTTCTCTCTTCCTCTTATTACAGTGCAACGGAGGCCCGAGGGGGAACAAAAGGTGCTTGTAACAGGTAAGAAGTACCCGAAAACAGGGGTCATGAATTTTTATGGGTGCCCTAGTACTCTTGGGCCTGGGTTTATCACCATACATCTCGCAAACCCCAGTCTTCAGATACTTCCCACCCGCTACGGGTATGAACAAGGGGACTTTTTTTTCTTTTCCTCCATTTTACTCTTGGAGAAAGTAGGAGGGGTTGAATATTTTCAAGGTGTTCAGTTTGCCCCCGAGCAGAGGCCCCTTATCCATTTATACTATAGGGATGGCGCAGCCTGGAGTACAGTTGATCGTAGAGGGTTGTGGAAGGTGGGAATTGAATCCAAACAGAAAGAAGAAAGACTAACAGGAGAATGTAGTACGTACCACAATATAATAGCACTTCACTATCCCGGGGTCACGCAAAGCCAGATACCTCGCCGAGTCGTACAAAATAGTCCTAACACCTCTGAACTCTTACAGAATCTCATTCGGTGAAGACTCGAAAAGGGAGGCTTTCAGATTTGTACGATATTCCGGGAAATCTTTCCCTGGTCCCTATAGAAAGTTAGCCCGCTGAACCAGGTACCGCAGTGACTTGTAGAAAAGCTATACAAAAAGAGGGAGAACGACAACGCGAGGGGATGCTAAGGAACGAGAATAGACAACGGGTAAGTAGCCCATGCGAGTGAATTTATACAGCAGAATACTATATACAATCCTGGTTGTTAGTACCAAGTCACCAGTCATTCATTCCATACCCACAATACCTAACACGAAATCAATAAGAGAAGACGAATGTTGCAGCTCTACAGAAAATACCAACTTTGAGACCCCCGATGATCGTCTCGATATCCTAATAGACAGCTACCCGCGATCTTCAAACCTCCGACCGCGCAAAAGGACGGAAGGGAACAACCCTTTATTTTTCCCCAGACAACACAAACACTCTCTCTCACGCTATTGCTCCGAATGCCCAGCTGTCCGAATAAAATCCTTGAAAAGTAGAAAACCATGGGACAATATGGGAAGTACGGGCTGTAGGCACCGCTCAGGAGGGTATGCACTCCGAGCGAGACCGTTCGGGACCGGTAGCGAAAAGTCGGCTGCGAAGGCCCCACTACCACGATCCGCAGGTGAACCCGAGAATGGGGAGAAAAAGAAGAGGAAATACAACAGGCTCAGGAGTTGTTGTGCGAAATTGGGCACGGAGTGGTATGGCAGGAGAACAGTGCCCTCGGGTAGATTAAGGAAGAGTGGGTTCAAGAGGTGTGATCAATACCGTATCGGTAAAAACTATTTTGCCCAAAGCTCGCCAAGAAAATGAATCCTTCGGATTATTCCGTTTACCGGAGTGTAAGATACCAGTACTGCACGAGTAACCGACCATATTGGCTACAAATGTTTAGACTATACTTTGTCCATACCGCGCCCATAATAAGGATCAGAAAAAAATCCTATTATATATGATATATATATCAGACAATTCCCATTTCAGTGGAATCCGCGGATCACCACCAACATCAGTAGCTGAAGACAAAAACTCCCGGCTTAATTTAACTTCACTCCGAACAGTGCTTCCAGCCGTCCAATCTCTAAAATATGTTGAAGTCCAAGACGAGGTGAGGATGCCGAAGACGAGACATGGACGGGCAGGACGGCCGTCGACTGTGGGCAAGCGGAGATGGCCAATGCACCCAGCCAAACACCCACCAGCGTCCTACTACACTACCAGTACCGATACTATATTATACTCGTACGATACATAGGTTAAATTAAAATTAAAGTTTAATTACAAGAAGCCATGAAAATCAATAAATCAATCAATCAATAAATAACCAGAATAGAGTAGAATGATATCCATAAAAGAATGTTTGCACTAGCGCAGTCCAACCGCCGTCGACGGGGCGACGGACCGGACGACAGGAAGCACTGGTTCCGAACCCAAACGACGGGTTCTCGAACCGCTATATCTCCAGGTACGATATCTTGAAACTCGGCTCTGAACCCATTTCAGGCTCTTACTCCGAGTCCGTAGAGTACTCGTACACAGCTGCAGGCACCTGAACTGGGTTCTCGCCGCAATGCCCCCCGCGGGTGCAGTACCGGTATTGTTAAATATTTTGAAAAAACC